TGTTTTATAAAATATTTAATTTTTTTTAATTTTACGGTCAGGGGCTTTGGTGAAATATTACGTGTCTAAACAGACCCCTGATATTTCCCTTTTAAAATAGAAAAAGAGATTGAGGACACACAGCGCTCTCTCCTCCCCCGCACTGTTCGGCCTTCTTTGACCAATCAGAATGGAGAGCAGTGTGGGGGCAGAGAGAGCCTTGTCAGAGGGGACACAGAGCAGCGCACAGCAGGAAGGAGAGAAACTAGGAATGCACCGCAATTGCGGCCTAAAGATGACCCTTTTGGCATTTTGCCAAAAGTGCCATTTTCGGACGATATGTTTCGGTGGACGAAATTTCAGTGCATCCCTTAAACATTATATTTTATTAGGTTAGCCTTGAATGTTTTATACTTGGGTAAACACATTTCTTCAAGATTTAACATAACTTGCACTGCGTAAGTGTGAACTTAGGTGGGCAGAGAGAGTTTTTTTTGTTTTAGTGAAATTCTAGTGATTTATTTAAATCCAGGTGATTAGTGAAAATCCCAATTATTTTCTGCCAGACTAGTTAAAAATGTCTACCCTGATTGAGTCTAGAGAATATGCTAGTAGATTGTATAAACAGATTATGTTTTACAGAGCAGTACTCTCTACCGGGAACAACTTTTCTATTAATATCTCCTTATACAAGTCCCCCCACCCCCCAAAAAAATAAAAATCCTTGAACAAAGTGTATTTAAAGCCAAACTTTTTTTTTCTTCATTTCAGTCTATTTTTGGAAATATTTAAAGCCAAACTTTTTTTTTTCTTCATTTCAGTCTATTTTTGGAAATATTTAACAATGTATCTATTTGAGACATTCCTAATATGGGGTCCATGTACCCAGATAGCAAGGACAACTTGCCACAAACTTGCGGCAGGTTTAAATTGTAATTATTTCTAACTTGCTGCGCACATTCCTGGCAAGTTGTAGACCTGCAGAACACTCGCAGCACAAGTTCTAGTTGACACTTTTTGAATTTGTAGAAAATTTGCTTGGCAAGTATACAGCAAGAGTATTGCAGGTCTTAGCAGGAGCGCTGCAAGTGTACAGCACTTTTGCAAAGCACGTTGATCTGGAGACTTGCAATGTAGACTTGCTGTAATAGTGCAACACAATTGTGAAGCTTGGCAAGTCTGCAATAGTTTAGCAAGTCATTTTCAAACTTGCAGCTCAATTGCTTGCTATATGGGTAATCACAAGGATATCAAAAATAATTTTCATTAAAAAAAAGGACCAAGGGGTTCAACTTGTTTTTCATAAAGATACGAGGACCCATGCATTTTTAGGCATTTCCATTGAAGTCTTATGGGGATAAAAACACGCAATTCTGAACAAAGAAAGCTCATGTACTTTTTCGCAGAACAAGCAACAGCACGATGCTCAGATGTGAATGGCCACTTCTCCATATGAAAGGCCACTTCAGAACAGTCTAATGGTTTGTTCTTAGCCATTCTTGGGTCCTTTGAGCTGTGCGTTTTAGGTCATCCCCAGATCATGGACCCTCCAGAAGTCTAATTCTAGCTTTCTGACACTGGGCAGTACATTTTACTACAGAATGCAATGATAGTCTTGAGATTTCATTGTGCCCTGCACAAATTCGAGGCTTCCTGTGCCGGATGCTGCAAAGCAGCCCTGAGGGCTATTTCACACCAGATGCAGTTGTGATGCAGTCTGTTCAGTTTGGCAGACAGGTCACAATGCTTTCCAATGGAATTTCTCATGCTCTGTTCACACCAGTGCAGTCAGTTCTGATGCAGTCAGAAAAAAATCTTGCTTGCCACATTTTAGCTGCACCTGATCGCAATAGAATCCATCAAAATGCATCAAAACCACATACAAACACATGCAAATGCAATGCACTGCACTGCACCTGAAAGCTCATTTTAAGCTAGAAAAACCCAGAAAAAGCACCGGAGTGCATCAAAAACACATCACAAACTCGTCAAAAATGTGTGAAAATGCATTGCGCTACAGGTGTGCAGAGTCACGCAATTCCGAAGCAGTTATGGTGTGAACTAGTCCTGAAACAAACTGAAGCCTCCTCCATGTTTCAAAGTAGGTACAGTGCTCTTTTATTTGAAAGCTTAATTTTTTAATCGGTAAATACAGAGCTTATGTAAATTGCCAGAAAGCTCCAGTTTTGTCTCATTTGCCCAAAGGACATTCTTGTTCAAATGCATTTAAACAAATTCCATTCTGGCTTTTTATGCTGTGTTTTTCAACTGTGGAGTTCTCCTGGGTCTTTTTCCTTTGAGCCCACTGTCACTCAAAAAGCAATGGCTAGTGTGACTAGACGCTGATGTACCTTGACCCAGCAGTTCAGTTTGTATCAGTTTTGAAGCCTTCCTTGGCTCTTTGTCCATTTACACTATCCTTCTGTTTAATGTATGGCATATTTTCCTCTTGCAGCCACATCCAAGGAAGGAGGCTAAACATCAGGGATGTGTGGTTAGGTCACTGGCAGGTGAGGCACCCCCTGGCCTGCCCCCCGGATCAGCCCCAGTCCCCGAGATATGTGTGGAGGAGGGAGGAAGGAGGTAGGGAGGAGCCTCCCTGTCCCTCAATTGCTTGTCACTGATGAGGCGTCTAGATGGATGCCATCAGTGTTGTGGTTTTTTTTTTGATTGGAAAGCTTGGACCAAAAGTGCTTTGATTGGACGGTTTGGACCAGATTTTAAGCTTACAGCTTTTTCTTCCATAGTGGCAGATGAGGCTCTGCTCACCTGCCTCCCCAGACAACATGTCCCTGTCTTATAGCCTTTGACATTCTGGTCTATAAATCTCTCCTTTGCTTTCTTTGGTCCATATTTAGTGTGGAGTATACAATGATACTAACCCACAGTGTTTAATGGATTTGTACTGAGTATAGATGGATATAGCTTAAATGGGAACTCCTACTATATTTTCATTACAGCCTAAAGATTTAATGAGCACTGGTAACAATATATAATTTCTCTAATATTATATATTTCTACAGCTTGCGTTTCCTTTTGAACTAATAAAATACGACATTCAGAAAGATGAACCAATAAAAAATAAATATGGCTGGTGTGAAAGAGTCAAGAAAGGTAAAGATCATTTTTTTCCCATTCTTTATTATGCTTTCTTGTGCACATCCTATATGTGTTAATGTATAGATATACAGTAAAGCTTAATAGTACTTTTTAAAAGAATTCCACCAACACATTTAGGCGGCATTAATAAATCCTTCTTTTTTCATAAGCTTTCCTGGGCCCAATCAAAAAATTCCTTTCCTGTCTAGAGGCTGCAGCTATAGACCACTACAATTCATGTGATAGCAGCGGTCTGTGTACAGCAGTCCTATTCACTTCCCACCTTGTCATGAGCATTGCTGATGCTGCTTTAACAATGGTGTCTTGTTTTTCATGTATACCAAATACACTAACTGCATGGAATTAGAGTGCATATAATTTGTCTCTATAGGTTTGTTTGTTATACTTCAGTTTTTTCACATCCCTCAAAAATCATGAGTAGTTTAGCTGGTTTGTCATTAGACTGACTCTAGGGTGTGTCAGTGACAAGGACATAGCACGGTGATCTTTTCTAGGGCAGAGACGTGACTGTTTGTTTTTATGTACATATCTTAGAGAAGCCCTATTCAATGCAGAGACTGATGTAACTACAAAAAATGTAGAGCATGTTGATGATCTATAAATAAATGGTTAGGAGGTCAGAGTACAATTCATACACTAAGCACTAGCAGGCTAGCACAGGTTCCATCTAAGATGAGAAAATTGTTCTGCATGGATCCAGGTCTTGCATGGGTCATCTTCACTTGACTGCTCACGGACAGAGGATGGAATGCTAATCTCTACTGAAAATCCATTTCAGTAAATAGAGGCCAGGCTTACATTTCCCAATCCTCACGTATTTTCTTTTTCTATTCCAAAATGTATTTTATTATCAAATTTTGCAGGAGAAACAAAAGACCGTAATACACAAAACCCACCCACAAGCTGTGGACAAGGTAGATCTAATAAAATACATCATACACATATCATATAGAAAAAATAAAAAATACAAAATATTATAAGATTCAGCTCATTTTACAAGATACAAAAATGTCTAAAAAAAGAGGGGGGAAGAAGGGAAAAGGGGGGGAATGATCCTCATGTACTAGCGGTGTCACAAGGGGGGTGCAGGGGGCGGCCCGCACCCGGGTGACACCATTTGAGGGGTGACACCAAAATGACTGACAGTCATTTTGGTGTTGCCACCTATGAAACGTCGGGCACTCGGTCAGGACCGAGCATATACAGATGCTCCCTGGGTTGTGAACAATCGAGTTACGATTTTTAGGATTTATGATGGAGTTTACTGTACAATACTTTACAGTAAACTTTCAGTCATTCAGCACCCACGGATCGGTAGGTGCCGGATAACTGTAGTTTCTGGTTGCTTGAGAGTTAATGGTAACTCTCAAGCAATGAGCCCGAGGCACTCAGCTTCCCTATTTACCCGCTGACTCACTTCCGCAGCCAGCAGGTGAAAGTAAACAGCCGGGATCAATAGCAAGACTGCTATCGGCTATTTCAGATTGCAATAGCCAATAGCAGGCTGGCTATTGCACCCACCCACTGAGCAGAGGAGCGGACCTGGGAGAGAACTTTCTCTCTCTCTCTCTCAGTGGGTGGGGATTCAATAGCCAGCCTGCTATTGCAATTTGAAATAGCCAATAGCAGTCTTGTTATTGATTCCCATTGTGTACGGTCTGCTGCCGCCCAGTACACACGTGAACTCCTCGGGTTTGCGATATTTTTGGGTTACAATGGATTTTCTGGAATGTAACCCGAGAAGTGTCTGTACTATGTATGGCTAGCAATGCATGCCTGTTTACTGTGCACTCTACAGTGCTACAAATATTTTAAAAAGTTTAAACTTTATAATGTATTCTTCTGAACAATGGTTACAGTACCCCTACAGTCTACTTAAAAAAAGAAAAGCTACTCTGCAGTCTTTAATTAAAGCAGAAGTAAACCTCTAAAGCTGGCCATACACTTTACAACTTGTAAGTCAGTCACGAAGGGGTTAAAAGCTCGTACGATCTGCCCATCTTGGACAGGCAGATCATACTTGCGATCATCGCAAGCCTGCACCCGCTGAGGGGCGGGCATCCAATGACTACAATGCTGAGCGGGCAGTGTGCATTTGTCTCCCGAGAACGCCACTAACCCGCCAACAATCGTACGATTCTCGGCGGGTTTTCAAGCCTGCTCGGAAGACAAAAGACGTGCGACCTTACAGTAGAAACGGTTGCACGCCTTCCATACACCTGCCGATTTTCGTACGATCGCGGGATATCCCGCGATTATCGTATGATACGGCAGGTACGGCAGGTGTATGGGCACCTTTAGATTTTTTTTTTCGTTTTTTTGCCATAATGTGTGTAGTATGCACAGCACACTTGCACATTAGGGCACACTTACCTTGCAGGCATGCCCTTCTTCAGCACTGTCAGGTCGATCTTCTCATGCGCCGTACAATGTACACACACACAAAAAAGAAGAGACTTTGCAAAAATCCATACCTCTCAGTGATTTTGTTATTTTTTTCTACCCACACAGCTTCTCTTAATCAAGGACCATGTGATTTTGGCTGCCTAAACTTTCAAACTGGCATCACCTGGCTCAACAAACCTTATCTGAAAAATGGAAGCAGTTGGGTGTAAAAATCTCAGGCAAACAGTGACTGCAGCCTATCAGATGCAGTCACCGTTCGGGTATTCTGACAGCTCATTCATGATGTTTAATATGGATGGGGAAACGCAGGACTAAATGAGAGAAATCTTAATATACATGGCTAGTCACATAAAGGAGCTTACAAACATTGGTACTTAATTCATGAAAAAAAATTTCATTTGGTAATGCTGATAAGTTCCTTTTTATACATTTATATTCAGTGGGGGGAATTTATGAAAACTGGAGCAGACTAAATCTGGAGCAGATTTGCACTGCATCCAATCAGCTTCTCTCTCTCATTTTCAAATCTTACCTGGGCAAACTGAAGAGAGATGCTGATTGGTTGCCATGGGCAACTGCTCCAGATTCTGTTTGCTCCGGTTTTGATCAATTCCCCCCATTGTGTATATTAATGATGGATCCAATTTACAGGTGGTCTACAGAGAAAAAAGAAACAACAAAAATCATTTGCGGTTATTTGCTCACTATTCCTGGAAGTTTATTAAACTAATGACTGCTGTACATACATAATGACACTAATTCCTGTTTGCTTTCCACACAATAGGTGAAACTGGACTGCTCATATCCAAAGTGAACCATGCCAACCCTTTCTTTGGTTATGCTGGAAATAAAAAACACACAACAAAGAAGTTACTGTGTGACGTCTTCAAAAAAGGAGATGTTTATTTCAATACCGGAGACTTGATTGTGCAGGATCATGATAATTTTCTATACTTCCGCGACAGAATCGGAGATACTTTCAGGTAAGGTATTCATGTATTTTGAATATTTTGACTTTTTGAATTAACTGGAATATATATGCAGTGTTCAATTTTTTTTTCTATGCAAATTAAGCATGCTTCTGAAAACCCAGTCTGCTGTTTTCACAATGCTCCAAAATTCCATTTGCCCAGAGAATGGTTGACAAACTTGTTCTGAAAGGCAGCATACAGAAAAAGGAACAGTGAATCTATTTCTGAATCCCATTTAAATAAAAAGGTCCCTTAAAGTAACTTCACATCAATGATATACAGTACATTGCAAGGCCTTAGCAATGCTCACTGCAGACTCTTACCCGCTCTTGCTCTATGGAAAACTGCTCTTGCTCTATGGAAAACTGATTCCAGTCACTTCCAGTAAATTAAATGGGAGGTTTGTTTACTATAGTCACATGAACACCCCAGAGTTGTCATGAGACAAAAAAAAAACCCGCTGAGCATGGACCATTCTTGGGGTGTTCTGTACACAGTGTACAGAATGTTCCACAGATGCAAGAAAAATGGAAAACCTGTCATGAGAAAAATGTGTCCACCTTCAAAAAATGCTAATTGCCAGGCTATAAGTCGATCCAGGACTTTGGGAGTCCTTGACCTACAGCAAGCATGTAGCAAGTAAAGTCAGAACTCCTGATTTGCGCACCTGTTCTTTGTTAGTAACTCAAACTACTAAAGCCAGAGGATTGTCATGATAGCTTCTGCAAGATCACAAAATACTTGTTGATCTTTCCAGAAATGAAGCTTTCATGTAACTTCCTAGGAAATTAACTGATATCTCAAATGCGGTTACCTTCCTTCCAAGGAACATCTTCTGTACATCTTCTGTACCTTTTGTGATTTTCTAATTGTACTCCTCTAAATTAAGGAATCACAAAACAAGTGAAGTGCCATCATATATGCTGATATATTTAAAGAAGTCCAGGAAAAAAAATCTTAACCCCTGCAGTACAAGGGTTAAGTACTTGTTTTTCTCTAGGTGTTAAAATAATAAAGTTATTCTCACCCAAAGCTCTAAAGTGGGCCAGCTATCACGGCGCTCCCACCAGCCTCTGTCTGTGATGATCTATGGGACCTTCAGCCGCTGCAGAGCCACTGCAGAGGAGGGGAAGAGGCTGGAAGCACTGGTCTAAGATCAAGCTGAGCATTGGGTGAGTATAGCTTTTTTTTTTTAACATAGACAAAAACGAGCAGTTAATCCCTGCAGTGTGGGGGTAGCCCCACTGCAAGGGTTAATACATTTATTTCCTGGAGTTCACCTTTAAATATATCAGCATATATGATTGCGCTTCACTTGTTTTGTGATTGCCAAAGGTCAAATTACCCTTTAATGATATGTGCTAATGAAGTTATTACATACTTATATTACTAATTACTAATATTACATATATTATTCAGAGATTACAACAATGTTAATGTAGAACTAAGCTCTAACAAGCGTAGATTGTGTATATAAAATAACTTTGCAAACCAAGTTAATAATTTGCCAAATAACAATGTCATCACTGTGAAGAGAGCAGAGTTGTAGGAGGGACCCAACAGGTCCACCCACTACAGGCTGCCTGCAGAAAAATACAGGTGGTGAGTGAAAACGTGATCCGTCACCCTGCACAGGGAGAGCAGCAATGTCTGAGGTTCCTTCAATTCCTTAGCCAAGCACTGAGTAGCTGTTCTGCAGCACTTCAGTTTGCTGCAGCAGCTTCACTGAACACTGCGGCTGCACAGTGCTAAGCAAAATGGCAGAGGACAGTGGCGGAACTACCAGGGTCGCAGAGGTCGCAGCTGCGACCGGGCACTGGAGTTCCACCGCTTAGAGGGAGCCCAGGACAGGAGGACGGGGCCCGTAGTAACCGCTGATTACCAGGATATTTAATATCCCAGTAACCGCTAATATCAGTACCGGGACCTCTTCCTCCTGTCCTGGGCCCTGCATGCTTCACGCTGCTCCCCTCACCTTGTTCCGGGCGCAGCGTGAAGAATGATCGAGCCGGTGCAGCAGCCAATGAGTGGGAAGCGGGTTATCCCCGCCCCCTCATCACACAGAATGGCTGCCGACCTTAGAACTGCCTTCTGTGTTCTATGGAGAGCTCCAACTCCCTGGGTGTCAGAGGCGTGCTGCTGACACGAAGATGGAGTGATAGGGAGCTGAGATTATGAAGGGAACATGTGAGAGGAGAGTGTGGGGTCAGGGAGCTGAAAGCTGGGGGGGGCTTCATGGATTCTTGCACCGGGGCCCTGAGGTCACTAGTTATGTCTCTGGCAGAGGATAATATCTTTGACTAGTAAATACCATTTTCCAACGAATATGTGGTTTGCTCGTCCACCAAAACATTAAATTGTAGGTTTCCACGCTGAATTGATTTCCTACATCGGGGGTTCAGGCACCTTTCTCCAGCACTGCCAGGTGTACCCATAGTTAAAATGGCAGCTGGTGCTCTGTCCCCACCTTCTCCATCACACTCAGCACTCTGCATCCACATTCACTTCCGCTGCGAGTGCTGAGTTAGCAGTGCAGCGTTCAGTGGCAGTTTGCTAATTCAGCACTCGCAGCGGCTGATAAACTGAACACTCCTCTGGTCTGTATTACAGGAAGCTCCTGTACAGAGACAAAGTTTCACACTGGATTACTGCACAGATCTGGAAGAAATACTGTACACAAGGATCACCAAGATTCAAGTTAGAATACACACGCCTCTTGGATTTAGACAATAATTGATTATCCCGGAGTCCAGTTTTAGGATATAAATTATATGGACATTTTCTCGAAAGAAACGGAAAACAACACACAGTCATGGCATGCCATTCGACCTGTTGAGTTAAAGAGAACAGTGTAAATGTGCGGGTTATAGAGGTTCTGCTAATTCTGCAGAGCATTATGTAACTGGGCACTGTGCTTGAATGACTCAGTGTCATCACAATAACATTGTTTGTCCGAGCTCAGAATAACACGCTAACCACGATACAACAGAAAACGCAGTATGTAAAATGTCAGGCTGGCAGCAGTTTGCAGTTTTAGGTCAAAGACCTTTTCCATGATCCTATTAAATTTCTGTATATTCATAATGTGGTAAGTTGGCCATACACTGGTAGATTTTTGTACAATTGTTCCAGCGATAATACCATCAGAGACTTGGCAGATGTCGTTCGACATTCCCTTTGATTTTAATATTCGATTGTGGAATGAATGGAGTTTCCTGAAACTCACATTCTCTTTTAGAATTTCAACGTTCGTTGACTTGACCCTATTAGAAAATCGAATGAACATTCTGAAAATGACATTTTATTGGTGTGTGGCAAGGTGAAGTTTTAAAGCGGAAGGAAAGTGTTGAAAAACAAAAGCCCTCTTGAGGTTTTAAGTAGGGTATACATGGTATGAATTTTGTCTGGTTCCTGATTGCTTGAGATGATGTGCGCATGTGCACGACAGTTACTTCATTTCAGCACAGGACCCTGCTAAGCCTGTACACTGAGCTACTCATGTGCGGCGCACACAAAAAAATGGCTGCCAGGCAAGTAGAAGCTTTTTTGGCAGAAGAAAAAAAATACACAATCAATTAATTCTGCTATAAAACCAAACCTGCTTGTCAGCAAATTAAATACAAAACTTCACTTCCTCTTCCAAGGCTAGGACTGGCGTAAGGGTGATCTTATGTGTAATGCTGGTTAGGCTGAAAAATGACACATCCATCAACAACCCACAAAAACAGCACGTTTATCCTTGAGAACCTGTGCTTCAATTCTCTATAAAAAGTGGCCTGACACAAGGGGACAGCTGAAAAACCTTGAGGGAAAGTTCAGCATTTTAACTCATATTTGGTATCCATTTGTGATGGGTTTACTTGAAGTATAAAGTAGGCACTATCAAGTGTCGTAGTTGTCAAAATGTCACTGCACAGTGACCCAAGAGGCACTTGACCCCAGGAGCCTGCAGTATGGAAATGTTTAGTTTAATGTATATCTAAAGCCCCATTATGTTTTGTTTTTTTTGCAGTTTTGAGGAGGAGTGGAGGATAGATGCAATGTTAGCTTTTCAGTTAAAATCAATTATGTTCATTAAAAAAATGTTTTAAGGTCTTTTGAAGAACATTTGTATTAACTGAGTCTGGAATGCACCGTAACGTAGTTGTTTCTGTTTCTAGGTGGAAAGGAGAAAATGTTGCTACTACTGAGGTCGCTGATATTATTGGGATACTGGACTTCATACAGGAAGCTAATGTCTATGGAGTGAGTGTTCCAGGTAAGTAAAAGGTAAAAGTGGATAATGACTGAAATTAGGGATGCATTTTCACATGTTAAATTGTTAAACTGAAATCGGCGCTGTAAACAGGCGCCGCGCTTCACAGGAAGGTTGCAGAGGTCCCCAGCAAGGTCCCGGCAGCCTTCCCGTGAACGGCAGTGCCTGTTTACAGTTCCGGCTGTAAATCTCTTCCTACTCCATGCCGCCCACCCCTGCCGAGACTGAGCATGTAAGATCGCACAGCCCACCATATCGCCTGCACAGCCCAGCGTAGATCTGTATAGCCCGCCGATAACCCCACACAGCCCAGCGTAGATCTGTAAAGCCCACCATTACCCTGCACAACCCAGCATATAACCGCACAGACCACCATTAACCCCACACAGCCCAGCATAGAGAAGCCTAGCCCACCATTAACCCCACACAGCCCAGCATAGAGCTGTTCAGCCCACTATTACCCCACACAGCCCAGCATAGAGAAGCATAGCCCACCATTAACCCCACACAGCACAGAGCTGTTCAGCCCACTATTACCCCACACAGCCAAGCACAGAACCTGCACAGCGACCTGAGAGTCAACACAGCTCACTATAGACCCTGCATAGCCTACCTAAACTCTATTTCTGAGGCAGCCATGTACCCGCCAAGCATTTTATTGTATGTATTGACATATACACTGAGTGGCCAGATTATTATGACCACCCCATCAGTACTTTGTTGGGCCACGAGATGACCCCACGAGATGACTTCGTTGGGCCACCTCGTGACTCCACGAGATGTTGAAAGGTGATGTGAGGAATCTCACACTGAACTGTTGCCCTTCTGTTGTCTTGTACCAGTCTTGCCACTCTCCAATTTGCCACTCTCCAATCTGCCCTAACAGATCGCTGACGGCCACAATTCGCACGTTCAGACCCAGATTTTCGGCTGACAGTCCAGTCTTTAAACACTTTAACAACAGCTGCTCTTGAACATTTAACGAATTCTGCTGTTTTGCTGATACTCGCTCCATGGCTTGAGCGCCAACAATCATCCCACGTTCAAAGGCTGTTAAATCACGTTGTTTACCCACATCTTCAGAAAAAAATCACTTCTACGGTCGTGGTAAACGACCTGCTTCCCTATTTATAATGGTCTGGCCCTCTAGCAACTTCAGCGCGAAATTATAGCTAATTATAGCTAATTTGCCTACAAATGTCAGGTGATCATAATAATCTGGCCACTCAGTGTATTGTGCCATGCATTTATCATGGGAGAGCACCCAGCACATGCAGATCCTCCCCTGCCAGCAACCCACCCGTGACTCAACCAGGATCTCCTTCCTGTGATCAACATGAGGTTGGTTGTTATACACTTACTTGAAGTGTCATTGTTACCCTTGTTAGCTGAACGGTCAACTGCAGAGTAAGTCCTACACAGGGTGCACTACCATTATACTGAACTGGAAACCATGCACTCAACCTCCTCTCTGGCCAGGATGACACTGCAATAGGGGGAGTTCAGTGCTGCACCTGATATCAGTCACTGTTGTCAAGGTTAGACCATAATACAAGGGCAACAAACAATGAGAGAAGGGAGCCAGGGGTGCTCGTTTGCCCTGCAGTAGGGGCAGCAGCATACGTTGGGAGAGGGTCCAGACAGTAACTCAGTGTGAATGAGGGAAACAGGACGCAGGGATGGCAGACACATGGCCCTAGCTGTTATCACAAGTCCCAGGGCAGTGTGAACAGGCAAGGAAGCAGGCGAGATGACAGGGCAGGCTGTTGCCACCAGGGCCAGTCACAGGAGAGTTTTTTCAGTTCTCACGGTGGCCTAGAATTGTCCAGCTCTGATACAGAGTATGAACAGTGGAGAAGTGTAAGTATGAGCCAGGTGCACACCTTAACGTTGTTAAAGCTGCGAGTCCAAGAGCCCAAGGACAGTGGTGGAGTGACAAAGCTAGGTCCCAGCTGCATCCCTGGTAGTTCTCATAAAAATGCCAAGTATCGGCACTGGTATCTGTGCATACCTACTTAGAATCCTTATAAGTTTCCTTCTTTTTTAATGTGCTGTCTGGTCCTGTTGGAGAGATTTCGTCTCACTTCCTGCATTAGAGATACAACAGGAACTTAAAGAAAACCACTCCAAAGTGAGGAAGTATTTCTTAGTTCTCACTGCAACAAATATCCCCATTGGAAGATTTCCCTCATCTTCTCCTGTTTCAGTGACAAATGTAATACTTCAACAGCGGGGACATCACAATAAAAACTTGACCGGGGTATTGTCAATCCTCATTCTATCCAAACCTAAAACTAAACGTTTTGATAGGAGATCCACACGCTGTGTCCAGGCACTTGTATGTGAGTCTTTAGAGCTTTCTCTGTGTGAATGACAGTTCATAGCCCTTCTAGCCCTAGTCCATCTTGTTGCCTTATTAAAAATTGAGGATTAAAGTAGAACACCAATGACGAAAAATACAAAATTGAAAGCTAATTTAAAGATGAAAAAACCCCAAAGCCAGTTTTTGCAGACCCTTTCACCTTCAATCCAGAGATTTCCCCTGCAGTGCTTATTTCTGCCTTAGTCTGATGGCCAGCATAATTCAACCCACCACCTCTGAGCCCGGTTTGTCCTTCACCCGTCCCAGCCTGAGACTGGACAGTTAAAGGAGAAGCAGCACAGTGCTGAGCTCATCTCTGCGTCACTCTGCTTTCTTTTTCCTATCAGCGTGCTTCTTCTCAGGACGTGAAGCATTTGACTCCCTGTGATGCTTCTTCCTTTTACACAAGGGACTGTAGGACGCTGATACTAGGTCCAGTGCAGATACTTACAGTGCCTGCATTAAAAGAAAAAATAATTTTTTTTAATGCATTAATTATTAGTTACATTCATTTGTGTCTTTTATGTCTGCTTAGAGTTCAACTTTAAATAATGAAAAAGGTACCTAGCAAAGTGTGTTATGTATCAGACATATCATTCTAATTATAACCCTGTGAAGCTGTCAAAAGTATCCTAGGGAACACGGCTTGATAAACGTTGTCATAGAAATTCTGGAACCTCATTAACCTCATGGCATACCAAGCTATCCAGCCTTCACTCAATCTCACTCACTCGCATTCTACAGTCTGTCTGCACAGGAGAAATAAAGGACATGATTTATAATGTGTTATGTCAGAAATTCATAATTTTTTTTTTCTTCATTTGATTGCTGCGTTTGCTGCAGTGAGAGTGCAGCATGTTTTCTCTGTGCATGGCATAGGCATTCAAATTCAATGTGAATTCAAATGAACATTAGAATATCAGGGTAAAGTAAACACCTCTACCTCATCGGTCTGATATACAAAACCTACACTCTTGGTGTAAAGACACTTTACCTGTTCTTTTGTCTTTTCTTTCAGGACATGAAGGCAAAGTGGGCATGGCATCGATTATTCTAAAGCCTGGTCAGTCTTTAGATTTAAAAAGTATCTATGAACACTGTATAGCTTATCTACCTGGATATGCTTTTCCACGATTTCTAAGGCTTCAGGTACATTTTTCAAAATGTTTTCTGTTTATTAGTTGAAAAAAAAAAAGTATTCAATAGTATTGCATCTGCATAAGTGCTTAAGTGGGGGTGGGGGTGGGGGGAGCTTTTTAGTACTGCAATGATAATCTGGAGATAAACACACTTGTAAAGAATATCTTAATTGATACCTCCTATGAGTAGGGACTGTTAAACTTGTTAAACAAAGGGCCAATTCACTGTCCTTCAGACTGTAGGGAGGCTGGACTGCGGAAATTCAGAGTAAAAAAATGAGTCTGAGGTCAGTAGGAATAAAAAAAATGCACCAGCAACTGAATTCAGTGGACATTAAAAATGGATGTTAAAAAATGGCCCTATTATCAGAGGTTGCAGTAGCCCTATTTTATATGTAATTAGCTGCTGTCCAGAAGGCTGTGCAGAGGCTCTGTCACTGGCACACTGCTGGATCACTCAGAGCCTGCAGACTGACTTGGAAGTGGAAGTTTAAAGGAGAACTATGAGATGAGTGATTCTATCATAGTTCTAGCCGACCTGTGACAATGAGACTGTCACAGGTCGGCTCAGTAGATCGGGAGGTGAGCGAACACATACCGGGTTCGCTTGCCTCTCGATCCTGTCACGGCTCTCTGCCATGACAGGGGCTGGGTTCCCCTCTCCCCGCTCCGATCTGCCAGCGCTGACTGGCGGAATGGACGGGGGAGGGGGCGGGTACAGCTGGCTCTGCCTCTAGATAGGCAGAGCCAGCTGTCACTCACGCAGCTGGGCGGATCCCGTCATCTACGTCGGGATCCGCTCCGGCTGCGGCGTCTCAGTATGCCGCGAGCTGTAGCTCGCGGTATACTGAGCGTAGGGTAACGGGAGGACGCTAGTTTGTGTCCTCCCATTACCCTAAGGAGAACTATGGGGAAAAACACTGACCCCATAGTTCTCCTTTAAGTTTAGTTTCTGTACACTGAGCTCAGTGCACAATCTCTCAGCAGAATTCCTTGCCGAGATAAAGTAACTACAGGCCCTATGCGCGGGATTTAAGTCATCTCGACCTGGGCAAAAAAGCAGCCAAAGGCTTCAAACCCAAGAAAGACAGAAAGAAGATGGCATAGCAGAAGGACCTGGGATTCTCTATGACCTCTTGGGTTTCAGCGCTGCTAGCTGAACAACCAAGAGACCATACGATGTATAACCAGGCTAAACAGTCCTGGAACACAGAAAATTCTTGTTTGTGTAAACACAGCTAGACTGCATCAAGACACTGCTGAACATCTAGGTGTGCATTTAGACATAGCAATGCATTACAGGCTTTAAATACATTTAGAAATTGGCTCCAAATGCACCTGGATTCATGTATTTGAATTCCTGTGTGCCCGAGGTCTAACTGCAGAGGCCTGTTGGTCAGCATAACTACCATGCAGCAAGCAGTGTCAGAGAAATAGGTCAGAAATCTCCTCCATATTTCTCTGTTTCCTTTAATGCATGGTATTTTTAATCCTTTTTATAGAAACATGTAAAAGAGATCAGCTTGATGTCATTTATCTTATTAAGACCCCTTTTACACGGACTGTCTGATCAGATCAGCCTGTCTGTTTCTTAGAAGTCCAATATAGCTCTACAGACAGCCGGATGTAAATGGACATACAGTGTATGTTACATTTGCATTTGTTTACCTCCGTATCAGTTCAGTTCAGTTACAAGACCTCAGCTTGACTGATTGAAGGTAATCTGATCTAGAGGGACACCTCCATTTACACCTCTCTGCCAATAGATCTAACATGGTAACCAATGCTACCAGCCGCATCCGTGAAAAATTGAAAAGCCGATTCAATCACAAATTCCTCCTTCATCATCATGAAGAAAAGAGTACCAAACTGCGCTGGGCACATTCATGGGCGGCAGAGAGCCCAAGCAGGAACGCAGCCAGTCTTCACCCCCTTCAGCGGAGGCACGACGAAGCACTTCGTGGAGCAAAGAATCCATCCTCAGGCAAGTTGTGTTGCAGACGATCACTGCTGAAGAGAGCTTCTGACCGTAAACATTTAAAGGTGAGTCCCACAACTGATTGGTTGTTTACTTTTCCCTCCAAAACTTAGGTAACTAATCACGACCACCTTATTTCCAAAGATCTTCCTAGCGACAGCCATCTCCAGCCAGAATTGACATGACACTATTAAGGGCACCTGGAAACAGACAAAATGGGAAACCAGAAACAGCCCAACGGAAAATTCCAGAAGACTGTACCTTATCGTGACTAAAACTATTGTTGGATTAAAATAATTATTTAATTGAATTAAGTGGGTGCAGGGGATGACACAATCCCATGGGGCCACTTCATTATTATATTTGTGGCCCTGACATTCAGTTCAGTTTTTTCCTCCATTGTAAGATAAAGCAAAAAGCTGGACGGACGCGCCCTTTTAAAATTTTGCGCTGAACCGCAGCCGCCCGGGTGTGAATGGGGCCTAATCGAGACCTGATTCGGCCCTCTTTCCTGCATATTTACTAAGTGTCCTAGAGAGTCCTGATGTGGTTGTTTGTATAAAATGCAGTAAATGAGTATTTTGTTGTTTTGATTACTGTCTCCTGAAAGTTTGAAAACCATTTTTATATGGACATTGCAAAGCACAAGATATTTTGTTATACATCCTGAATATAACTCTCTGCTCTTGTTCTTTGTATGTACACAGGACATAATACCACTTTACATCTTCTTTATGCTGAGTGTTATTTTCAGTATCTGTTCTTTATGCATGGATGCTGCTCTTTAGCACAACTCTTATTATGTTGACTGTAAGCCCCCATTCACTGAAGCCACTGAAGCTCGTGATTGTGTGCAAAATTGCATGATTTTGTCTGCATTCCCACTAAGCACGAATAGTGTGTCACACTTGCAGTGCCATTATTTGTTACTGGCACCCCAAATGCAGCAAGCAAAGTGTGGGTTAACACACAACAAAGGTGCAAAGCTTGCATGAGCTGCTCTGCAGTGTTTGTCATATGTAGGGCAGTCCATTGAAATGAATGCTGCCCTATGCTTACATATGACAAATGCACAAAAAAGTGCCAAACGCACATGGTTAAAGGGAACTAATTTTTAGTATATGTTGTGTCTGCATGGACACTGCATGATACCACTCATCTTGCATCCTGAAACTTGCATCCTGAGTTTTGGCAACTGTTTTTATTCGATGGTAATAGTGGGCTTTACATCTTCCTTTTGTCTATATGCTGAATGTCTTTGTTACTATGCACATTCATAAATCTCCTTTTTACTGTGTGTTATAAGCCATTTCCTACCAGCATAACGCACATACGCATCAGCACAACAGTTGGGCTTTACCGATGGCTGTATGCATGTTAAGAGCATGCTCACTTGTGCTCTCCCAGCAGGCTCTCAATCATGTGACTGCTGTAACAGTCAATCACATGATCAGCATGCCCACATCCCGCAGTTCCGAACTCCTTAAAGGGCTGGTGGGAGTTTGGTGCCAAGTGGTTAACCAATTTAGCTGCACCAAGTTTGTTTCCACAGAGCATGCCACTTAGGCTCCATTCACACCTATGTTTTAGGTGGGATTAAGGATTCCTGCATCAGGAACTTGCAATTTCCTGCAGTAGGAATCCCTAACCGGCTATTTACAAGGGGCAGCTGTCACCCACTCAAGTTAATGATCGGGTTACAGCCGCTGCATTTGAAAGCGGCAGAGTGCCAGTACGTCGCATGTAATGGTATGTGATACGATAACGTGTGGTTAAGAATCAGTCACTCAGTGATTGATTCCTAACTGCATATAATCATATGACATACCATTACATGCGGTGTGCTGGCACTCTGCCGCTTAGATGAGGCGGTTGTCATCCGATCATTAACTTGAATGGGTGACAGCTGCCGCTTGTAAACGGCAGATTAGGTATGCCTGATGCAGGAATCCCTATCAACATCTAAAATGGGTGTGAATAGAGCCTCAATCATCACTCTATAAACTGTTCTCCCAGGTTGGCATATCTGCTACTCTAAGAAAAAAACTATTTTGGCATTAGATATTCTTTAAGGAATTAAGTTTTGTGGGCTCTGAGTACAATATGATTGAACAGCAGGAATACATTGCCCTGATTCTTTTTCTTCTTTTTGTATTAAGGAAAACATGGAAGTAACTAGTACATTTAAACAACAGAAATTCCGTCTTGTGGAACAAGGATTCGACCCATCACTAATATCAGATCCACTTTATTTCTTGGACGATTCTAAAAAATTATATGTGCCAATGACCAAAGACATTTATGACAAAATCACCAGTGGTCTGCTAAAACTCTAATCTTTTTTTTTTTTTATGCTCGGGTATACATATCATTTCCTCTGGATGAAAATACTGAAACTGTGATGTTTTAACCACTGTTGTTACAGGTTTATTATACAACAATGACACAACATGTTACACTTCAGTAAAACTAAGGCTAGTTGCTAAACCCTGATGTATGAGTTACGTATTTCTCTATAATAAAAACATTTTGATTACATTATGCAGGTATAACACATTTTAAAAACTGTCGTTGAAGGGACACTAACTTTATATTTCTCTTCCTGTTTTTAATAAGTGAGTTGTAATATTTTGGGGGTTTCTTCCAGTCCATAATGATCTACTGTCTCCTGGAAGACACCCTATCAGTCTTATTCATGGACAATAAACATCTCCTAATACTGTGCTTAGGGGGAAATGCCTTTTAGGCATTGAGGTAGGTTTAATGCAGTGGTTCTTAAACTTTTGAAGTCAGGCCCATCTTTAAAGCAGTTGATCTTTATTCCCTCCCACCCCACGAGTTTTTGATGGGTCAGAGATAATGGAGTTTAGAGACAAAATGGTCCAAATGTTGCTGTATTAAATTTGAAATACAATGGACATCAACTGCATGCATAACCTACATCTAAAGGAACTTGGTTGTAGCTATGTGCATTCAAAAAATGCAAAGTCCTACTCCTTCCCCAACAGCCATTGGCTCATATCCCTACATAATTGCCCCAACATCAAGCTCCTCACTGGTGGCACACACACTTTTTATAGGGTCCAGATGCCCATCATTATGACAAAAATCCTTGTCAGAGCATGATGTTCACCCAGAACATGGGCTCACTCAACATGGCAGCTGAAATCCATGAGCTGCAAATACCTTTGGTGTATGCCAGGAGTAGGTTGTGGCCTTGCCCTTCCAACAAAGCTATTTTGTCTAGTATTCATTGGCAGTGGGAGGGCAAAGGTAACAAAAGTATTTCCAACGGAAAATAAGTGTTTAACTATGATTCTCAGCAGTCATGCATGTTTCCACAAGATGTGACTTTATATCTCATTATTTATATGTTGAAAATATGTAAAACCAAGAGTACAGTTTTGCAGAGCTTGCTGAAACACTGGAATTGACTATACTTTTGAAATTCATGTTGCTGTTGCCAAGTAATGGGCAATAGAAACTCTCTACCCCTTTGGTGTCTTTTTTTTTAAAATCTCTAATACACACTGCACACCCTTAAGATGGCGAATTAGCAAAATATGTCTGCAACTAATGGGAGACAATCGAACCAGGGCAAAGAACAAGCTAATGTATATTTAGGCCAAGGTTTCCCTAAGCGGGCGTGTCCCGTAGCATGGTGTCTAACGCATGACTTCATCCTGCACACAAAGGTGTCAACAGGCACGGTTATTTATCTTGGTGATATTCGCAGACAGAGAGAGGAGGGGACGTTCACCTGGTGAGATAAGGTATGCCGACGGTGTTCCGTTGAAAGAGCCAATTCATCAAAATCTGCAATTTCATCACTTCCGGTAACTTGCCAGCAGGAGATTTTGACGAGCTGGCGTTAGTGCGCATGCCCGACAGCATAACACTAAACCAGGAGGATTTCTATGGCACAGCATAGCGCATTGACAACTCACTTGTTGAGTTCTCCAACACCTGCAAGCGCACTGACAGCTGTTAGAGAACTGGACAAGTATTGTTCAAATTGTGAAAATGTGGCTGTGCAGAGCTCCTCCAGTCTTTGTGTTCTGCAGTCGCACAAGCAGTAATGACATTTTGTCCAAATCTTAATGTTTACCATAATGAAACCTGTCTTCATTGTGCTGGCAGATCATTATCAGTTGGAAACTAGATTTGAACACTGCCTGTCCTAATAAAAGGGTTAAAGATATAGAAGCTTGGCTTCTTTAATTGTATGTTAATGAGGGGGATCGCAATCTGTCCTAAGCCTTTCTATTAGGACGTGCTACTTCCTGTTACTGACACAGAGAGAAGCATGCAAAGGCCGGCAAAATAGAGATATCTAAAAGGTAGGAAATGTATATATTAAAAATATATCTATACATAGATATATATATCTTAAGATATGCTCTGTGAATAGGAACACATAAATATATAGTGGGGGGTTTCTCAATCTTGCCTGCAAAATTAGAAATGCACTTTAAGTGTGGGGGGCAATGCAGACCTTTTCCTATACTTTGGGCAGAGCCAGATGATCCCTGAGGGATTCTAGGCGAGACCCTAGGGCCCTGGGGTGGATGTGCCTATTGCAATCCTTTTCAGTGTCAAAAGAATGAATGGGGGGGGGGGGGGGGGGGGGGGATTTGTTTGGGAGAAG